TAAACCGCCGCGGTCGGTCAGCGCCCGCGGCCGCTCCCGCCGCGCGGGCTGTGCTCCCCTTTGGGCTTTGTGTTTCTTGGTGCTGTTTTCGTTTCTTCTTCCCGTCCCCTTTTTTTTTCTTTTTTGTCAAGAAGAGCTCCTTTCCGGGGCTCCCACGCAGCGCGTTCCTGCTATTGTTGCTCGTGGCTGCCGCAGAGCCCCCGCGCTGCGGGCGGAGCGCGAGCTGCGGCGGGGGGCGGGCGGGAGCCCTGGGGCCGGGGCTCCGAGAGGTGCCTGAGCATCGCTGCGCGGCTGGGAACCGAGACAGGGGAAACCCCAAAAAAGGGGTTTAGGTTGGTGAGGCAGTCCTGAAGACGCGCGGAGAGAGCAGCTTGCTCGCGGTGTAATTCACTGACTCGGCCTCAAATTACTTGCGCCAAGTGTCGCAGGACCCGCCTCAAAGCTGGAAGGAGCGAAATCTGCATCCTGAGCCGTTGGCTCCTGTCCCCAGCAAAAGGTCTTCGGCCCCAGCTCCTCTCATTTCTGGGCTTTTATGTATATATTATATATATATATATATATACTATATATATATATACACACACATAGGTGTGTGTGTGTGTATATATATATAAAACCTTCTTAAAAATCTTTTAATTCTGTCTGTGAGGAGGAGAAAAAAAAAAAACCCGAAGCATTTTACTGCTAATCCACTAGAGAAACAAAGGGCTGTCCATTTTAATTATCTTGTTTCTAAAGTTCTTTTGTCATCTGGACAATGACTCTGTTCTGTCCCTGGCCTGCATTTCATTTAGGCTGTAAACGCATTGGGAAGACCCACATCTTTTAAAGTGTGCTTTGCAATGTCAAAAATAAGCTCAGTCATAAATAAGGTTGTAGTTAAAAATTCTGTTGATTTTACTCTTTGCATAGCAGTGTTTATTCTGGATTGAGGCCTGGCCTGTTTATGGCACAAAACAGGGAGTGTTGGAGCTGCGTGACAGCAGATTAATGCTTCAAACGTAAAAAAGTTTGCAGCTGTCATTTAATACAAGCAGACACACCAAAAGGAAGCAATTTTGTTCTGGGAAAAAAAAATTGCTCTTCAGCCTGGCTGAACTTACAGCCTCATAGCTCTGTTGCAGGGATTGCAAATGACAAAAGCGACCAAACTTCCTCGGAGTTTGTACTGTTTGCGGGACTGGGACCCTTTAGTCATGCTTGTCCTTTGCTGTGCTTATCCCTTCTGTGCCAAGCCTCCCTCTGGCTGCCCAGATGGAGGAGCACATCTGGGTGCATGTGCCCTGATCCTGCTGTGAGGGTCAAGGGCCCCTGGCTACGGCTCTTTGTCCTGCCGGAGTATTTCCTCTCCGCACTATTGGATGGGAAAATCTGTCCTGACCATTTGGTTTGTTTTCTCAGCAAACATTTTCCTCGCTGCCTACGTGAGCTCAAGGGTTTAGCCCTTCAGTGTTTCTCTAGTCCATTAAAAGCTCCCATGGCCACTCCCTGCACAGCTGACTATGTGAGATCCTCCCATACAGTGAGGATCTATACTAATAACACCATGTATTTAAACAGGCTATTACTAGGGGCAGGATGAGAAGTTACTTGTTCTGTTTTGCCTAATCATTGCTGATTTTCAGTTGATTTAAATTTGCCAGATGGAAGCTGAAGAGGAAGGAACAAAAAAGCTGTCTGAAGTAAACTTTGAAAACTTACCTCCGAGCTACCACAATGAGTCCGACACAGAAACCAGAATTGGCAATAAGACTGTTCAGACTCACCAAGAAATTGATAAGGTATGAGAAAACAGGACGCTGCTGGTTCTTACACAACCATTTCTTTGAAAGTAATAACAATTCTGCAACTTTGGGGGAAGAGTACTAGAATCTGAGTGTTAGCTTCCTTTGGTGATGATAACTTGGGGGTTTGGATGTCTTGATTTGCTTGCCTGATCACTGTGCAGCAGCATATGCGATAACGGTTAATGGGAAATAATTTATTTTGTTAAACTGCTACCAAAAATGTGTGCTTCAAAAAGAAATACCTGCTAAAAATGGAGCATGGGCACGGTCATTATATGGAGCAAAAAAGAATGATCATCTTTTGCTCATTTAGCTTCCTTACTATGACGTATTAAATAGACAAGGAGGTCTTGTTGCTGTAGGCCCCTCTCCCCCGACATGTTTTTATCTTTGTGCCAAGAAAATGGGGGGTGGCAACAAAGGGGAGAAACACTATTGAAGAACATAGGACTGAGAGTAACAAAGGACTTACATGGTATCACAGTTTGATTTATCATTCCTCTTGCTAGGTTACAGATAACAAAACTGGATCAACAGTTTATTCTGAGATGGTTATTACATCTATAAGAGATGGAGAAAACAAAAGAAATCATGTAAGTGAACATGCATTTCCTTTTGCTAATTAAATACTTGGGGTTCATTATTCAGAGGAAAGTGATACAGTTAATAAATTGGCTTAGCCAAATTTCTGAGTATTTTAAAACATACAAAACTGTTAGGTGTAAGTGGTCAGAACATTAAAAATAGGGATATTATTTGCCTGAGTTTTGCAAAAACGATGCATTTCCTGCACTTTGCTGTTTGTCAATAGTCTCTTTAGAAAATCCTGTCTTAAATGCAGGCTTTAGAGCTTTTATTAGCAAGACAAGAGGTGGTGAACTGGATGTATCAAATGGTGGCTTTTTTAAAAACTTGTTTGCTTTAATTTCTCTCATAGGAAAAGTTCTCTAACTTTTTTTTATAAGGCATGAAACATCTATAGGGACAGTTCCTGTTTTTAGTAGGAGTAAAACCTGAAATCAGTGCATCCTTTTTGCTAGTATCTCTGCCTAAATTTTCATTCTTCCAGTTGCTATTTTAATATTGCCATTAAACTTGAAAATGACAAGTGGCAACAATAAAGTTGCTTGTGTATCCTGCTCTTGGATTTTTTGTTTGTTTGTTTCTAGCAAAGACAATGAGAGGAGGGGGTAAGTCAATTTACAAAATAACCTGTAACTAATTCTAAGCTATGGTTTGGTTTTATATACAAACTGTTACATTTAGCATATTCCAAAATGCTTTTTGATAACGAAATAAAGGCAATTCTAGTTTTTTTTTGTTTTTTATGGAGTGAAAACAGCTTACAGAAGTTAACTCTTCAATCTTTAGCAGTGGGACACAACACTCAGGTGTTGTTTCACAATGTATTTTGTTTGCTAGTCATAAGCATCTATCCATTCATCACAACTGTGAAAATATTTTTAAGTTAGCTTTACTTCAAAGGTCATACACCGATTCTTAGAAGCTCATCATAAATGCTTCATAAATGTTCTATCTACATTTTACTTATGGGAAAGTTGCCTCACTTACCAAACTGGTGTTGCATCTAGACCCAACATCATGATTAGTCTTGCAGCTGAAGAGTTTGAGGGCAGAATACAAACTTCTGTCAAATTTCCTGGGAGCAGCCCATATCCTATTATGATGAAAGTGTAGACAGAACTGACGATCAAGTTAACTCCGAATCATTCAAACCCTGGGAGGGTTCTTCATCAACACCCTCATTGAAGCTTCTGATGAAACAAAACCTTACTTGTTAACTTCTATTTCCCTCTCCCATTTATTTTGAACTTTCAACATCAAGGGTACAGACGATTTATTTAGAGGTTGCCAAGTTAGAGGAAATGGTAAATGAAAAAAACAACCATCAGATATATTTGGTTGTTATTTAAGGAAAGAAGACAAACATGCATAGTTTGACAGAGATGCCTAGCAGAAGGAAGTCTAAAAATACTTGAAAACTGTAAATACTAAGGAGGAACATGAATTACGTAGGGTACTACAAAGGCAAAGAACTGTTCTAGGAGTAGTGATCTAGGACTGAGAATTGGACAGTGGGGTTAGAGCAAGAAAAAAACGTGCTGCCAATGAGACACCTATGAATCAAGCGTAACGAAGATTTTGTACAAATTAGAAGGTCCTATTGCTTACATCTGTAAATTTAAGACAAAAAATACTGGGAAAACTATGCAGTGCCGCATAGGTCATTTTTCTATACACAATTTTCACATTTGAAGTTTTGTGACATTGTGGGGTTGCAGTTGTTTTCCAGACAGCAGGTTTCCCCAGGACATTAGATCCTAAAAGAGTTGTTCTGCCTTTTGCTGTGTATTTTACATAGCAGCAACAAAGCAATATGTGTTTAGCTCTTGTGATCTCCAGGCAGCTGCAAAAGGAAACCTTTTGAAATCTCTTTGGAGATCACCACTCTGGACCTCTAAACATAAGTAATATACATGCTGTTCTGTAATACACATTCTCACTACTTACCCGTGCTTTATCTTGCTGCTTGGTGTTGTGTAGCAAAAACAATAAGCAGTTTATAATTGTAAGTAAGTATTGAGAGTCATTTGGAAAAGGCAAATGCTGACATTTTCTAATAAAGCTTTTTGATGGAGAAGTTGGTAGTAGAGGCCAGCCATTTGCGATAGGATCTCTGTTTTGCTGCTACTAAGGTAGCCTTTAGACTGGTGCTCTCTTTAGAGCAGCACTTCGGTTTGTATTTTGACTCTGCAAAATATAGGAAATATAGGAAATAGGCATGTGGTACCACAGCAACTCTAGTTTTGTGCTTGCTGGGACATTTTGACTGCTGAAAGCCAAACCTGTTTCACAGGCTCGGTTTATAGGCTCAGTTTAAAAACTTAGTTTCTGAAAGTTAAGGATTCTCACAACTCCTGCTCTTTGCCTACTCTTACTGCAGTTAAGTGCTAAGCATGAAAATTTATCAAACAGTCTAGCAAACCACCTACTCCAAAATGTGAATTCTGTACAACTTACTATGGCAGTAATTAATAATTGCAACTCCACAATAAACATACGTATATATAGCACACACATACAAATAAACTGTTACAGAAACACAAATATAAACTGTTACAGAAATATTAGGGATAATCTTCCCCTATATTCTCCTCTCTCAGAAAGTGTTTCTTTTGGGCTTTGCAGTGCACAAGCATTCACTTTAGAGTGTGCTTACTGTTACTAACTGATTTGGTTGACTGTATTGTGCTGGCCAGAAGACTATCAGTGCTCTGAGGCTCCAGAACTGGGCTGCTTGCCATTTCTGGCACAGAAATCCAGTTCTTGAGAGGTGCTGCATTATTTGGAGGTGCCATTACATTCTCAGACTAACATTCCCGTTCTCGGATGTCAGTGAGGATTGACCATCACCAACACAGTTACCAGGCTTAGATCCAACAGCCTTGCATCACTAAAGAGGCCAAACAGAGGCTGGTTTTGTGGGTTTTTATATCCATGAAGCTTTTTACACCCGCTTGCACCTGGGCCGACAGCCCAAATATTCTGTAATTTACTTCTTTTGGGAACACTGGACAGCATACAAGTTAAAAGAGTTATTACAGTAGCAAACTCAAAGTGACGAACACAGTTAGAGGAACAACACTCATTAGGTGCAAATGTTGCCTGTTGAGGCACAACTGTGCCTTGTCATTAGTTAAAGAGTACAGGTCTATATTTCTTTGTGGGAGAGTTAGGAGAGGAGCTTCCCATGCAAGGTGCATGGGAAGGTGCTTCTGCACGGGACACAGTGTCTGTACACACACGTTTGGTGCCTGCCTTCTGCAGATACAGCCAGCAACTAGTCAGTGTTTCTGAACAGCCTCAGACCCTTAGGAAATAAGGCCCGTGATACCAGGGCTTTATTTCCATGGCTAGAGAATGCTGGCTAGATCCCTGCAGCTCTGGCTCCTTTACCCCTGTGAAACCTCTTCTGTACAGAGCAAGCTGACTTGACAGGTTCTGGAAGTGACTGTCCAGGGGTTGTTTCTGAAGTAATTACAGCCTTGGCCTTGATGTGCTTATTTAACAAAGTTGCCTAGAGAATAAAAGCTCAAATAATTTTAAAGATTTATCTGTAGAGATAAAATAGATATCTTCATTATAATGGCTTGTTTAGAACTTCTTTCAGCCTGTAAAATGTTTATCTTCAACTAAATATTAAAATAGTAAACAGAAAAAAGAAATAGTATATATTTTTCCCTGGGGTTCTCTTTCCCCCATAAGCGTGCAAGGCGAGATTTTCTAGAGAAAAAAATCTAAATGGCTAAGCTGTGGCACTTCGTAACCAAGCATCCAGTTCTCTGGGTATATCCAGAACTGATAAAATAATGTCTGAATTTTCTTTTGAGCAACTTATCTATGAGTTTTCTCTAAGTGTGTTCACGGCCATATATTGGGAGCTGTACTCTTGGAGATTCATGCTGCTCCAAGGAGAGGTTTCCTATCAATACTGCAGAGAAAAGAAGCTTTGAAAATTGAGAAGCAAGCATTAATGGGAGGGAAATCGCAATTTATCCACCAGCAGCACTGGGGGAGAGTAGTGAATGGCAGGAATCAGAGCATGTAACATCTTGGTGTTACCTTCTGCTCTCTGTTAATGTCTCAGGAAAGACACTTGTTTTGGTCATTCCAGCCCCATATTTGAGTCCAATTTTTTTGTTTTATTTTTTTCACAGAATTTCTAATCCCTGGTGATTTGTAGTCAAAAGCTCTAAACTATCAGTAGAGAGACTAAGTGCATTCTTGGCTTGAAATTCTGGTCCATCTCATAAGAGCTAAATCTGCTGGGTTTTCTGTCCTTAACCATTAGTTTGCACTTTTAGATTGCTTGTCAATTAACTATCCAACCTGCACTGTTGACATCCCTTGTTACATGCATCAGCTCTGGTCTAGTACATGAGCTAACTCCTCCTGTTAGGCCATTTTAAATGTAGGGGCAGATAAAGGTCCACAGTTTGTTGCATTTCTTTACTAATGATTTGAGAGATTTAACAAATCCAAATCACACACTAAACAGAGTAGCTCAAATAAACTACATTTATAATGTAAGGTTTTCTGCAAAATTCACAAGTGGCTTAGAACAGCAGTCATTTTTAAAAGGCACACCCTATCTCCATAAGTTGTTCATGGGCAGAATACCCATCTGCTGTTGTGTTGTATTCCTCCACAGGCCATCCCTGTGAGTACTTCTAAAGTGCTCAAAAATTGCCTTACATTTTAGAATAAAAAGCCTCTTGTGGACTAGGTTCCCTTCTAGTCTCAATTGCCTAAATTCCTGCAGCAAGACTACTATGTCTTTTCTTATCTTACCCTACAAGAAAAACTATTGCTTTTCACTAGCAGATCTACCCTCTATGTCTTTCACTCTCTTTTATAGTCTCTGGAATACCTTTAGGGTATGCACTGTGTTTGTAGAGCAAGACATATACCCTTCCTGTATGGAAGTTGTGCCCGTGTATGTGATGCATACCCTTGAGTGTTCGTATCTAACTCCATAGATATAAGTACTTCTTAGTGATACATAAGAGGA